CTGCCTACTTTCTAGGCACCTATTAAAAAGAAAGCTGTGATGGGGGTAAAGTACAGCTTTTCAAAGCTGTACATTCAGGAAGGGCAGATAAAGGTGAGAGAACAGAAGCACGTGTCACAGGTCAGCTCTGGCATGTGGAGAACAAATGCAGTTGACAGAACATGATCTTTAGAAACCACTCAGGGAAGTTTTGACATTAACTTATAGTACACTTGACTCTCTGTACATCTCTCTAAATCTCACCTCTGACAGTAAAAAAACCTTCAAACCCAACCTCTGAGCTTTGCAAATTGGGAATAAGGGAATCCTTTTTTCCCCAAAGCAACCATCTGCTAAGTAAGTGCCTAGAAGCATCTCCTTATTAAGTATACAGGTTATGCAGCTTTATTGCTGTAGGTTGGGTCTTTTTTCTTTCAAGTTATTGTTTAATATGGCTTTGTAAATATTTAATTTATAGCTATCTTCAGAAATTTCATTAATTTATGAGCTTGGGGTTTGTTCTTACATTTCAAACCTCTGACACTAGAAATTAGTGTGCTTCCCATCTGTTTCATCTCTCTCTTTAAATAAGCTCTTCTGTACTTTTGAGAAGGTTATTGACACTGACTGCAAAACATACAGAAAAACCTTAAAGGTGCATCAGGTCCTGAAAAATAATCCTTCAGTCAGCTTACAGGCTAAGTGGACAAAAAAAGAAGGAAAGAAATAGTTTTCCTATTGAGAAGTGAAATACAGAGAGGTTTGTGCATAGTCACAAAACAAATCCGTTGCTGTTGTATTGATCCCAGTTCTAATGATATCTCATCCAATGCCTCAAAGAAAAACCTCAAACATTTCCTCCCATATTCTGTTTATGCCTACTGTTCAGGATTTGCCTACATGTAGATATTGGTATCAGGTGTAGGACTAGGTTTTCATAGCAATTTGTCAAAAATATAGTTGGGAAGTATCCCTCAGCACAACTGTTCTTATATAATAGATAAGAACACACAAACATTAGCTACATTTTTCATTTAAAAATAATGCAAGAGACATTTCTGTTGGAAAAGGTAAGGTTACAGCTTTGCTTTATGCAAAAGGGCAACGAAAGAAAACTAAAAAGCATTCTTGTTTTAGGAAGCTTCCTAAAGCACATGCAAGACAAAAAAACCCACAAAATAAAATTTATACAAGTAACAAGAATAAACTTTGGGAAAGACTTTTGGAACCTAACATTAGAATTTATTTGCTCTTTCTAGAAGACTACCATTTTACGATGGCCATAGCTCATCCAGTATAATGACAAATTACTGTTTAACAGTCTTTAACAACGCCAGCTATCTGCACTCTCTGCATGCCAAGAGATAGATACTGGGAAGTCTTCTGCATTGCAGAAACTGAATTAGGTAATAAAAATCCCATTCAGATATATGTCTTTATCTTAGTCCTAATTAAACTTCTACATCTGCCCTGCGCTCTAATGTATTAGGAGACACTACAAAAGTCTAGGGCATCATGCAGGTCTCCCAGGGATATCCCCACTCGAAACAGAAACCAAGTTGAATCATTACTTAGGGACATGCAAATACTGACCTGGTTTGGTGACTGCACTGGTAAGTGGGAAAGGGGGAAAAAAAAAAAAAAAAAAAATCAGATATATGTCTTTATCTTAGTCCTAATTAAACTTCTACATCTGCCCTGCGCTCTAATGTATTAGGAGACACTACAAAAGTCTAGGGCATCATGCAGGTCTCCCAGGGATATCCCCACTCGAAACAGAAACCAAGTTGAATCATTACTTAGGGACATGCAAATACTGACCTGGTTTGGTGACTGCACTGGTAAGTGGGAAAGGGGGAAAAAAAAGACATTTTGTGTGTCAATCTGGGTTTTCCACTGAAAATAAATAAAAAAGAAATGGGTGGTCGGATTTTTGTCACAGTATAACACCACTCGTTAAAGAAAAGGCTACATTTCTTAATTAAAAGTGTATTCCAAAAAGAAGAGGAAGTATAACTTCATTTCCATGAAAAGCTACATACTTTTCAAGACTTCCCACCTCCAAACACTTTTGAGGCAAAATAGTTAAACGTTGATGCAAACTAGAAAATGGTTTCTTTTACTTTGAAACAAAAGCTTTGGTGAACAAACTTAAGTCTCTTCTGAATGCACTGAGGAATTACTTTCAATTAGAGGAAAACGATAAGACAGACATATGAAGGAATGTTTTAAAAGTAAATAATTTTATATATGCACCAAACGAGTTTATTGTAGGTCAAGAAATTATTTCTGAGACTGAGTTTTGGATCCTTCAAATTTGTGCTCAGCTTGAGACAACTGAAAGAAGTTTTCCTTTAATGAATTGTAAGTTTGACAGACAAATTGAGGCATGCGGTCTATTGTTGTTTTGTCACACTGTCCTCCCTCTCAACTTTAATGGCCATGAGATGAACCTCAGTGCATGAAAAGGAAGGCCTCTACTCATCATTTTGAAATGTTGCAAAATGAAGGTATACTTGTGGAAAACAAGAACTTGCTGAAAAGTACAAAAGAATCCTGTATTCTGTAGCAGCCTGCAGTATGCCTGAAAACAGACACATTTAGGACACAGGAGAGTGGAGATGTGCACACAGGTGCTTTCCAAATGCAATCTGAAGAGTGGAGAATCAAGAGATTCCAGGACTTCTCCTATTTGAAAGGAGGCTCTCCAAATTAACATTAGCAAGCAATGGTATCTAAATGCAACTTTTCTCAGTTTAAAATTAATAGAAACATTGTTTCGACTGCTAAGGCAGGGAGAGAGGAGCACTGCTCCTAGGAAAAATGCTCATTCACTTCCCGAGCAGACAAACACTGTATGCTTTTGAAGCTTTTCATGAAACAAACTGCTTTCCGAACAATGTATCTATCTAGTAAGTTTATGGCATAACTCAGTTGAAAGCTGTTCCAACATGTCAGATTATAAGTAGAACAAAAATATTTTGAGGAGAGCTTTGAGAATATACTTCTCAAACCAGAAACAATTAAGTGATCCAACCGAAAAAATTGCTTCCTTGGGCCAACTTCCTTTTGGAAGGGAGCTGAGAAATCCATTTGTTCCAAAAGATCAGCCATAAACAAATATTAAGAAAAGTGTTTACATGTTTAGATGAATTTGGTCAGCCAGGCACTGAGGAATGTGAGCGAAAGAAATCTGTGTTCTGAACTTTAGCTAGTATTTACTCCTACAGAAAAGCTGTCCATTAAAAAACAAACAAAAAACCAGTAAGATGAATACAGGAACTGAAGCACACACATCAGATGCCACTAGCCATCACACTGTTTGAATTGCTTTGGTATTAATGACAAACATGTCCCTCTTTTTTCCAATATTGGACTGAAAGGTTGTGCACACAGCATTAGAAGTCCCTGTTTTCAAAGTTTAGCACAGAAAAAACAGGCAAATTAAGTTTCTTTTGAAATATTTTTTTCCCATACTTAGTTTTCCCACTTTGACACAACACCTTCCTGTACTTTTTCTTTAAAAGTGTGTATTTTAAAATAAATCATATCAAATGATTCAAGCAATTGGATCTAAATCTCTACTGACAAGCAAAGTTATAATAGGAAGTTCTGACAAAGTCACTGTAAATACACAGAAAAATAATGAATACACATTTTATTTATATTTCAGATGTGCCTTCTGTAAATAACTGTTTCAGTTTCTTTGATGAAGTAAAGGAGACAATAAATTGCTTTAGTCTTCACATGTAATAGGAGGAACATTCCTTTATCTACAAACTGTCTCTCAGAATTTAACATCAATAAGAGATCTTCAATATTACGCGTTACCATTTAAGCAGGAAATGCAGACTACAAGACCAGAAAATTAATCAAACACTCTTTTAAATGGTTGTAATTAAGAAAACCCAAAACAAAACCAACTTGATATATTCAGTTCTCAAAGCAGCTTCCATTCCACATTTATGTCTTATAAGTATCTGAAGATTTCAATCACTGTGCATGTAAGCTGGAGCTTAGATGCCTTCCAGACAAATAAAAAATTGTAGCCAGAGATTAATAAAACACAGAAGCAGAAAAGGAAATAACACTCCACATTCTCATATCGCACAATTCAATTTTATTCCATTCATTCTTGCAACACAAACTTAAAAATACTGTATCATTTAGCATTCTGATGTCTATGAACCATGATAATGATGAACCCAACTATGTCAAAACAGTTAACAATGGTGAAAAGAGGAAGTCAAATATCAAAATGCACAGAGCACTAATTTTCTTCCGTCACTGCGTAGAAAGATGATTGTTTATCCATTTACAAAATATAATTAAGACAAGTTCATTTTGAAATTTCGCATGCAACACTGCAATTGCTTGACCTAGGACACTCCATTCTTACCAGCCTCTTCTACAAATAATTCAATGTTATGTTCAAGGATAAAGTTCCATTTAACTATCATACTCCTTTTCCCATTTGCTCCCCCTTAAGAAAAAGGAGCAGAGGGTACAAAATCCAAAATATACTTAAGGTTATAACTTATTCAGCACAAATTTTAAAGGAAAAGGTTTAAGAACAGAGTGGATTTCCACGTATATGCGATTCCAGTCTGACAAAGTATTTAAATTCTGTTTATAGAATGTAAAATAATTTACAGTTTGGTATTTTCATCTAGTTAGGACCTACTCAAAGATACAGGCAGCCACCCATTATTTTTTCCACAATATAGCTAACAAAATGAACAAGCCAGTTTCTAGACAATTACAGAAGCATAAGCTTTTATTATTACTTTTTTTTTTAAATCCTGGGCAAATGATCAATCAGCTCTTATGTAGTGCAAAAAAGTATTTCTTCTTTATGAGCCAAACATTTAATGCCATCTTTTAACTATCTTGAAAGGCAGCTTGGGTATATATTACAGCCAAAGCAGCCACCCATTATTTTTTCCACAATATAGCTAACAAATGAACAAGCCCAGTTTCTAGACAATTACAGAAGCATAAGCTTTTATTATTACTTTTTTTTTTAAATCCTGGGCAAAATGATCAATCAGCTCTTATGTAGTGCAAAAAAGTATTTCTTCTTTATGAGCCAAACATTAAATGCCATCTTTTAACTATCTTGAAAGGCAGCTTGGGTATATATTACAGCCAAATTAACACTTGTCTCACTGCAGTTTGTTTGCATTTTTTTTTCCTCAAGTGAAGTAAGAAAAAATAAGGTGTCCACATAATTGTAGAAAAAGGGAGGCAAAATTGCCTCAGTGAATCACCAGAAGAGTTAGTACAAAGATGATGTTTCTTTACTTTGATAATGCTCACTTAAATGAGAGTTGAAGGGAAGGGCAGGAAAGAATACAGAGAAAAAAACCAAAAACACTATGGCCAGACAACTTGACACTAATCAACACAAAAAACTTGAATAATCAAGTTTTTCACATGAAAACAGATTGCAGTTTTCTAGACTAGTATTTTAATAGCTAAGTATTTAATAGCATAATATGGAGGCAAATTTATGCCAAAGATGGTTACTTTCATAGCTGAATAAAGAGTTAAACCTATAGTCTGTGTTCACACTATTACAATGACATGACAATCCAGCACTGATCAGAGATAAAAGAGTTCTCTTTAAATAGTCATTAAAACCACTGTTCACCAAAAATGCTTGTTCTTTCATCAGCAGCTCATCAATTGATTTATCACCAATTTCCAACCCTTCTGCTCTTCCTTGCCACACATCTCCAAGAAGCAAAGAGTAATTGCACTGTACAGTTTACAGCCAGAGTTGATTGTTTGCTCCATTGCTTTTCTTATGGGATGTGTACATGTAAATCAGTTTCTGCTCTCCTTTTACAGTCTAAATGCAAGGCTTTTTATAGCTGAGACATTCAATCATAATATGCAACATGATTCAAGTAAAACTAAGTCTCCATTAAATATGAGTGGTAGTCACCAGCCTACTTCTACATATCCTCTCAATTTCAACAGTGATATCAAAATAATATCAGCTACTTTTGTTTAAGAATTCAGCATGAGACATTATATACATTTGTTTTCTGTATTGTGTATGTTATCAGAAAGTTTGAAATCTGTATTCCAAAAAAGAGGAAGATGTATAGTTTGTGGTACACATTTTTCTGTTATAAAACCTGTTATTCGGTTTTGGGTGAATCAGCAGTCTAATGAAAATTTTCAAGATGAAACCAGAAGCTCAGACATTCCTGAGGACCATAAGACATGACGGGAATCCCTACAACATCATTAAATATCTTCCCATGAATCATCAAGGCTGTCATAGTGCTGTCATACTTACTGGTATAGTAAATCTTATCTAAAAGTCGATGGTTAATGTGGTATGGTTGCACTGGGAACTTTCAGAACAAGCCCCACATCTTAATGAAATTTAAGAGGTTCATTCAGCCAACAATGAAACACCGATTCAGAGATATGCACAATTAAAAGGTTTTTTTCCTCCAGTAGTAAGAGCAAGTTAAGACTTCTACTTGTACGTCTTCCTGTTCCTAACACCTGAACTTAGAAAGCTTACATGTATTTTAAAAGTTTACAGAAAAGTTTAGCAACAATATTCACCTGATAGGAATGTCTAAATAATTACTGTTCATTTTTCACATTTGACTTGATTATCCTTGCATACCAAACAGCCTATAGCTTTTGCACGTGTCTATAAATTTTATGCTGACATGGTGAGTAAAGAAATTTCATCTTACAATCCTTTTGGATATAACTACAGTGACATTTTGAACTCTCTCAAAACCAGTTGCTTAAAACGTCTGTCCTGGACTAGAACAAACATGGGAAAGAAAAACCTCAAATTCAAGCATCCAAAAGTACCTTGGCAGATATCCTGGAGTGTAATGCAACCATGCCTCAGCTGATCTTTCCTGGTTTACTCAAGAGTCAGAAAAACATTAGTGTGACATCCAATTAGTCAATATAAAGAACAGCTCCAATAACTAGTATCAAAAGTCCTCAAAACTGCAACGTAAGCTTTAGGCAGGAGAATAAAGCTACCCACTGAGACAGAAGAGAGAAAAGCAACCCAGCCACCTAACTTTACTACACTTCAGATTATGGCAGACACTATTAGCATGGGACTATTGTCTCCTTCACAATTAGTTTCAGGTACATAGCACAGTACTTCCATCTAAAGGAATCTTTCAACAAAAATCTTAGTACTAACCTAGGAGGTTTGCAAGCCAAAAATTCAAGATCATGGTCTGTCTTCCTTCTTCCATTTTCACTAGAAATGGGAAGAGATTGTGCACTGAAAAGAAGTCCTAGAGGGACGCTGTTCATAATAGTTTTCAACCCTCTCCAAACAGATTATCTTCGATACAAGCCCCTAACTAGTCTGATTCATAAGAATTTCCCTCCCCCCAAAGTATTTAGCTGAAGAAGCTGGAAGATGCAAAGAGTGACAGACAGGCAGCAGTGTGAGGCCACAGGAGAGACATTTAAGATATCAGTCCATCCGTCACTGAAGAAGAGTTTTGATTGCCTGGTTGTCAGTGGCTTCAAAGGCAGTTAGTCCATCTGGGCCTTTCACAGTCTTATCAGCACCCTGTAAAGACATCGAGAAAGACTGTCAATTCATAAAGCCAGGCTGTATTAAGTGTGTCATAAAAGTTACTTACCTTGGATAATTATATTGATTACATACAGCTTTAGTGCAGTGCATTGTTTTCATTTAGAAACCAAACAGGCAAGATTTATGTACAAAAACTATTCGGCACGCAGCTAATCTAAATTTCAAAATTTACTTGAGAACTAGAAAAAAGTCACATAACCTTTGTCACACAGCAAGTTGCAAGATCAACAAATTATCAATTAATCTTGGATAGAAACAGAAGGATTTTTTGTTTGTTTGTTTCCAGCAACTACTCACATGAATGCAAGAATTCAGTATTACACACCTCTTTGAAATCTATGGTGCAGCAAGCTTTTCACATGCTAAGTTAAACAGGTAACCTCTGGAAGAGCTTACTTACTAACAAATCATACTATTTTCCTTCTATATCATAAAAGACTATATTCATCTAGGACTGTGCTTCTCTCTCCCATTTTGAAAAAATCCCTATTGCTACATAGAAAAAAACCCCAAATCATTCCAAGTCCAAAACTGATCAAGTTTGTTTTGAATAAGCTATGCCTACATGTAAAAGGCAACAAGACAGAATAGGGAGGCAACAGGAAGATAGAGGATAACAGAAATGCACCAACTAGACAAGCTGCAGAATAGTAAGCACAAACACAGCCTCAGTGCCAGAATTATGGAAGAGGAGCAAAAGAGAAGCAAAGAGCAATTAACTAGTCATGTTTGTTTTGAGTACTGTGTAGTCATATACATAAAAGTGAAAAAGACTAAATTGTAAATAGGGTAGTTAAATAAAGGGATAAAAGTTATTAGAGAACACAGGACTCACTACAGAGATCAAGAAAGATGTTTCCTGAAAATAAGTTAGATTCCGGAACAACTCCTCTTGAGCAGATATGCAAGTCTCACTTTAAAACACGTGTATTTGCTCAATCAAGTGACAGGAAAAACACTGTGGGTGGCAAAAGCATGTACTGCAGAGGTTTGTCTTCAGTTTTACGTATAAACTCTCCATTGAGTAAGTACAAATCTCTTCTCAATTACATTACAAGGAAGGAAGTGCACAGATTAATAGTTAAGGACACCCAATAGTTTTCTAAGAACATAACGGACCTAGAATTTCAAGAGCTTCTTTACTGATAAAAGATTGTACACATAAAACCCCACTAAACTTCCATACATAATACCATGTCTGTTCCCAAGACAACTCTCAGCACACTAAACTTCCCATTGTAACTATTTCTAACATCTAATAAACTGGATCTGACATTACTAGTATTGGCAGCAAATCATAATTTTCATAACATAGAATATTTCCATCTTTGAAACCTCTACTCTCTTTAGTTGTAAATATTTAATCTGTCATTCTAAAAAGATGGCTTTACAGTGGTTTCTAAGGCAGCAGTGCTCATCCTGTGGTCCACTGGCCAAACTGATCCTGTTGCGCTGTTGCAGCCATTCATCTTCCTTGCAGCCCCTAGAGACCCTCAGTGCAAGACATGAGCTGAACAGACTGTTTTGTTTGGTGGCAGTCAGCTGTGGGACAGGGAGACAGGCTTCTAGGGAAAGAGCCTGGGAAAAGAAAATTGTCTTGAGAACTCCAGTAAAGAATTCAGAGAGGGATACTTATAATTGCAATAATTCTTTCCAGGCAGCTTACTTTATCTAGTACCTTTCAGGTAGCAGAATACAGGCATACATTTTGTGCATATGCAATAAATTCACTCCAGTGACAGGAACAATCATAACATTTACCTCTCTCCTGTCACTATGTAACATCCTTGGCCCAAACAGTATGCAGTATGCTGCAGTATCACTGTTCTGTTGGGTATGAAGGTGAGCTGAATCGGTCTCTTCCCAAGAAATGATTAATTGGTCATTGCAAACACACACTTAGACTGAAACCACTGAAACCCACTGCTTACAAAACATTTTTCCCCTAAAAAAAACGGAGAGATTTAACAGGTATTCGACAGTTATCATCTTAGTTGGCCTGGAAGAAGAAAGGCTTCTTTTGCAGGTGTTTATTTCTACTGCTAGCTAGATAATACTCTCATGCTAGGGTCCATGTGGAAATCAAAAGGGCTTCAAAGAAAGATGTTCTTTGATGTTAAACTCAGAAAACCTGAAGGAACTTAGGCCTGAAGAAAAATGGAACTATGCAGTAACTGACCTACCAGTATTCATCTTGAATCATAGTTTAAAGAACTTTAACTTATAAAACTCTCCACCAATGTATCAGCATTTAGAGTATAAAAGATGTAACCGTTAACTGAAGTAACTTTAAAGTATAAAGAGAACTTTTTGTTTAGATGTAGGACTGCTTTCCACCCTCATGCACATTTATACTTCAGAAAAGTTAGACTCGCAAGACCTGAGTTTCTAAACCAGCTTCACCTAATGTAGGATACGAGGGTCATGACTACCTAAGGAGGACACTGTTTAATAAACTCAGTGTTAATAAATTAGGAAAATGGCCCCTTAGCTAAGCAGAAAGATTCCTGCCTGCATTCAATAAAACGAAAAGGAAATAATAAAGTTCAGGTCAAAAGGACTTTAATTTTCAGAAGTACAACACTGCCTGGAAGCGAGTTTAATGAAAAGTGCATAAAAGTAAAATGATTCCACAGTATTCTCTACTTTCCCAGAGTAAAAGCTATTAATATTTTATGTTTGTGTTATGTTCTTTTCTTAAAATACACACACAAAAATATATATAAACTCTTTCTTTGGCAGGGTAATAACAAACAAGAACATTTGCCCTCTTAAGCCACTGGGCAAAGCACAAATGTTAAACATGCTCTGAAGGCAGCACAATGGCTACTAAGGTACAGTTGCAGTTCAGGAAAACAAAAACATGAAGGCAGCAGATAAAAGCAATGCAGAGCTGTCGCCAAACCCTGTGAAACTGGAACTGGGGGCACTTAATGAAGCTGGTAGATGACTGGTTTATACAGCAAGCAGCAAACTTCCAAAACAAGTTGCCAGATAAAGTTATGGAGGCAGATGTCAGCTTGTTCAAAAAGGATATGGATGAATTCATGGACAACAAGTCTATAAACACTTCTTAAAGGGGATAGATGTCTGTACCTCTAAAATCCCCAATACAACAACTATGAATGAGAGGAATAAATGGGCAGAAGTGGTCAAACTCACAACTATTCCCAAATGGCATCCCTTTTGCCACCATCAGAGGAGAAAAAACACAGTGCTAAATTGCCTAACTCAATAAGATATTTCTTATAACGCACTTTTAGTAGAAAGCAGAGATCAAATTGCATTAGATACTTTACAAAAAGCAGAACTACTTTGAAAGATGAACAAATGGATGAGATTTGTCACATCTTTTGCGACAAACTTCATCCTCCATTAGAACCATTCAAAATGGTTCAACTGTCTTTTGTAACATTGTATTGGTTACTACACTAAAAAAAAATCTTTTAAAATTACAAAATCAAAGATTCTTAAAGAAAAAAACATCGAGCAATTTAAATTTTTTATATATATATATCTTTCTGCTTTTCAAATAGGTATCCCTTAAATCCACTATCCCTGAAAAAAATAAAAGCAAAATGAAATACAGCAACTGATGTTGCTTCAGTCCAGTTCTTAGTACTCATTACTTTTCTGTTATTTTGTTTTGTAGAAGGCTGGTACATAACACAAGCAAAATAAAAACCTGGTATTTTGGAAGACAATTCAGTTCTGACTTTGTCAAAAGCTACTAAAAATTCATTTCCTCCCCAGAGGTAGAATATCTTCCAATATTATTACATCATTTAACATTTTTAGTAATACTGAAAAGGCAGAAGTGAAAAAATGAACACAAGATATGACATTTCTGCTTCACTTGAAGTCACAACATGCTGCAAACCACTTTACTGTTTAAAATTACAAAGGCTATTTTAATATGCCTCAAATTCCTGGAAAAATATTTTAAGATTAATAAGAAGAATTAACTACTCTTAATGTAGTAGTAAGACAAGAAGCCCTACCTTTGAACGTTAAGCAGGAAGTGCTTTTTAGACTAAAGCTAATTACTTTCATGTATTACAGTAAGTCAGAGCAAAACAACATTTTCAACTGAAACTCAGATGCTGATAGAGCAGTTTTAGGTATCACTCTGCAAACCTCTATAGGTCTATTCTTGAGGATGCCTACGGTATGATATTCCACACATTTTCATAAATTTGAAATATATACTAAGATTTCCCAAAAGTATTTCTAGGCTATATACTGTGTAAGTAAGGCTTGATAGTTTAAAAAAGATTATTAAAAAGGGCAGTTTTGTAGGAATATGCAAAATGAATTCTTCAAAAGATATGTTTTAAGGATACAGTACCTTGATCTCTAGCCTGACCAAAAAAGCATGTATTAGAAAAGCACGTCTCAACTCTGACCTAGAGGGTTTACGCTACTGCTGGTAGCCATAGCACCTTAAGACTGAATCCATTCTACTTTAGTAAATTCACCCATCCCTTGCTGAGGGCAGTAAAAACCATCTTCACCCATTGTGTATTTCAGTACTTGGGATCTTTCAATTTTTGAGGATTGATATGATGCTGTATTATTACTTAACCTACTATTACCAGTAGGTAAGTTTTTTGGAGGCTGATCTAGCATGCATGTAGCAGCTGTTTGTTAATCTAAACATTAAAATCTTGTGCCCAAATGGAAGGTAAAGTCTTTCCTAACATAAAGAAAAGTTTCAAGTATAAAACCTCACTTTTTTTTTTTCTTTTCCCCACTCAAGTATGTTTTACAGTTTTATAATGTATGTGCGATTTCACAGGTTCATAGAGTATCTCAAGTTGGAAGGGACCTATAAGGATCATTGAGTCCAACTCCCTGCTCCTCGCAGGACAACGTTGGGGCTTTAATCCCTATAGGTGTGGAAGGAGTGACACTATTTGAATATTTTAAACATGCCAACAAAAACTTTGGTTTTGACCTTTAAGTTTAATTTA